ATTCAGCTCCATTACGAATGCTGTTCGTTTGAACTTCTTTTTTTATCATGTTTCATTGTCGGTAGTTTGTTGTTAAAATCTCCAATTTTATGAATTTTAATGTTTACTCACTTTACAGATCGATATGTTGAAAACGACTAGATGGATTTCATCGCGGATTTGACCAAAATATGTCAAATAATTCCGTTTATTAAATACCGTTATCGGTTTTTTAACGTTATGTCTCTCTAATTTTTTTGAGCGATTTAAACGACTTAAAAATTAAAAAAAAACAGAAATAAGCTCTGCGAAGAGAGGGGGGTTCCGTAAAATCGGAAAAGATGCTGCGTTCCAGACAGTACGTCGCGTCTTTATCTTCCCTACATAAAGCAATAAAGGCGCGACGTCCTGTCTCTGGAACACACGCCAGTACCATCTTTTCCGATAGGACGAAACCCTCCTTTCCCCGCATGGCTTATTTCTGTTCCTTTTTAATTTATGATTCACTTAAATCGCTCTAAAAAAATTAGAGAGACATAACTTTGCAAAACTGATAACTGATAACGGTATCTGACAAGCAATTACTTGTCATATTTTGGTTAAAACCGCGTTGACATCCACCCAGCCGTTTTCGACATAACGGCGTCCAACTAAATCGCGATTTTCTACGTAACTATATGAAATATTGAAAAAATAAAGTATGCCCCTCATTAAGAACACATCAGGCTACCACCTGTTCAAAATTGAAATTCTTTCGTACGACAATTTTTGAGAAAAAATCGCAAAGTGGACAAAGTTGCCGGTGCCGTAAAAAATCGGATACTTTTTTCATTTAACTCGCGATAAAAAGATAACAGCGAATACGAAAGTTTTGAAATTAACATATGTTACGTAAAAATGTTCAGTGATTACCACAAACTTTGCCGATCATTTTTTCAGTATTTGCTAGATTGTTGCTGAAATATTTACCCGTCTAAATTTCTAATAGACGATAGATTATATTAATAGCTTTCTATTCATTTTTTATTAACAAATTTATTCTTTATAGCCTTAACTTTAGATATTTTACTACTTGCAAATGTTTATAAACATACTAATTCTCACAATGACTATTTAAAATTCTCTGTTTGGTTCCGGTTTTATTCAAATATTTAGTTATCTATACATCACATTTAACGTGAGACAAACGATTATTTCGAAAACGGTTCATTTTACATAAAAATTAACCAAATGAAAGTTGTTCTGTGCGAAGGGGGACACCATATGAGGATAACATTTCATGACCTTGACCTTATTTTCAAGGTCATATAAAGGTGACGACCAATTTTTTAAATGGCATCCTATGTTTTTGATTGCAAAATCTGAATCTATGGATAAAAGTAAAATAATTAAAAAAAAAAAATACCGTGTGGTTTTGCCAGTACGACGGCGAAACATCTTTTGTAGACATACTCTAAATAATTTTTTATTCAAAATTTTTTAAATATTGTTTATCCACAATCACCTTATAATTGAAGTTTTATCCACACTTATGAACCACTTTATTCACTAGTGGAATAATAGTATATTAAAAAACAAATTTCGTAAGACACGTTTGAAATGCACGAATTCAAGTTGAAAAACGAGTGGCGAAACCACGAGTTTTTTTAATGAATGAGTGCTTTAAGTCTTACGAAACGTGTTTTTTATGCTATTTTTTGTAATTCGCGTTTTTATCCTTTTTTTAGCAAAAATAAAATAAATTTTGACAATGCAGGGAAATAGGTCTGTAGCAGTTGGTAACACAGTAACTCTTGAAAACAGAAATTTGAATTGCCAATTAGAACTTGTCAAAACACAAAATATATTCACCTGAAAAAAATGTTTTATGTACACCTTCCAAAATAAGAGACATTGTTTAAAGTTCAATGCCCTCATCATTGTGCACTTTGTATTCGATGCTAAGAACGTATTTAAACATCCATAGACAAAAATTGTCACATTGACAACTAGAAAAATTAATGACCCAATGTCACCAACTTGAACTGGTTCCATAAAATGTTACTAAAATTTCATTACAGCATCGGATGCTGTAAGCGGTCTCATTACAGCACCCGTTTGAGTACTGTAATAGCTTTCATTACCGTCGCGAATTACAAAAAGTTACTTTATTCCACTAGTGGAATAATGAAAAATACAATCTTAAATCAATCACATCCTATTTATTATTTATATTAACATTAACATTTATATTAATAGACATTTCATTCTTTGATTTAAATAAATAAAATATTATTATTGTTGCTATTTAGCTCATTTCTTTTATGTTTTATGTGCGGGATAAAAAAGAAGCTTTACACTGAAGAAAGCAAAGAGTCTATTGAGATAAACTCTGCTGTTGTTTCTGTTATCTGTCGGTACCGGATATACACAGACTGAAGAATTATTGTTATGTGTGGATATACCATTTACGTTAACAAAAACACTCCAAAAATATCAAGAAACCGTAAGTGATAAAATCATGGATTAAGCATGGCAGTCTATGAAGAACGCAGGTGAAGAAAAATTTAAATTAGTTACAGCTTCAGGAGAAGTAAATAATGACTGAATTTTTATGATAACCTTAATTGCAGATGCCTAGTGTAAACGCTAAACGCTCGAACAACGTCAATTACGATGCATCACCCGGAGTAGTACTGCAATAAAATAATTGTATACAATAAAATAAAATACTTGTGTATACAGGTAATTCAGGTAGGTAGCGAAAGCCGATCAGGGTTATGTTGCTATTGATAATGATAGCAATTCGGTTATAACTTATGAATAACATTTCATATAAAGAATATAAAAGAAAGAAGAATTTATTGGAAACTTGCAAGATGGATGCATTAACAGAAATAAAATACAAATTCTTACCAGAAGCTAAGTTACCAATCAGAAAGGGACCCAAGGAAGGTATCTGTGCCTAACTGCATCGAGATTTGGTGATGTATGTAAGATGAGCAATGACACGTCTTGCTTAAATAAAGTTAAATCAATCTTGTACTCGAAATTTGCTAGAATAAATAACACTAAACATGGCCAAGACTATGAATGGCTTGCATTAAAAAAATTTGAAAGTAAATATAACTTGTCAGCAAATTCTTGAGCTCTATTCATTCGTAAGATATATGGATTCTTAGTTGCAAGTCCAAATGAAACAATAAAAAATGAAAATGCCATCGTCGAGGTGAAGTGTCCAGCGAATTTCAAGAGCTTACATCTATTCGAAGCAATAAATTAAAAAAAAAAAAAAAGCTTTCATAAACGATAACGGAAATTTTCAATTACATCGGAAGTATAATTTTACTATCATGTACAGATTCAACTTGAAATAGTAGACCTGGAAAAATGTTATTTTTTATGTTGGACATCGAAAGGCTTGGAAGTAGAAGTGGTGAATGTTACGTAGAAAAGACAAGTTTCGGGACTTCACGAATTCTGTTTTTAGTAATAAATTAATTTTTTATTATAGAGTTTTTTACGTTTCAAACATACAGTTACATTTTTTTAAATTGTTTATTGCCCGATTTAATAGATCCAAGGCTTCTATAGATCCAGAAAGAAAGAATTGTGAAAAATAAAACTTTGTATGTTGGATTAATGTCTTTTGATATTGATTCCCTTCCATTATATACCTTCTATTTTCCAATAGATGACAAACTAAAATTTCCTAAAGATTTTTCTATTCATTGCTGTTTTATTTATTACATTATTTTGTATACTTGAATCATTATTTAATATTATTATTAATTAGGTATTACATATTATTTCATTTACTTATACAAGATGATGCAAACCATCCATGCAGTCCATTTTTTTAAACGGAAATAGTCAAAAAGTTAGAATGAAAAGTAATAATATTCATAAAATGGATATGCTTTGCACAGCCAAGAAACTAAAACACGTCTACGTAAGGTTACATTTATCCAGCTATTACATTTTTTCTATAATTTTTGTAACCTCCGTTTTCAAATAAAATTATTTAAACGGTTACTCTGAGTCACCTGTATATCAAACGAGCGTATAATAATACAACAAAGATATGATTTATAAATTTTGTATCGAACTTTTCACATTCCGTATATTGCGAATATATCTATTTTAATATAAAATGAAGTTATAAATGTTATTTTCGTTTGAAAATGTTATAAATGTTTTATGTCTCGCAAAATTATTTATTGCATTTGAAATTGATTTTTGAAATTGACATTCAATTGAATTATAAACCCATAATTTTAGATGTTCTCAACCTCTTTCTCTAATTTCTCCATTAAAAAAGTAATATTCAAAATAACAACTAAAATAATAAATAAATTGAAAAGTTAATAAAAAGACAGCCAGTGATTTGTAATTACGCAAAATTGTTAATAAACAATAATATTTAGAAAAAGTCGTTTAATTTGTTCATTAACAACATCGACGAGAAAAAAAATCGTAATAAAATAAACACGATGTTTTTTAATCTATAAGGGGTCGGGCCTAGTAGAAAATAAAGTCCGCCTTGTTGCTTCCGAACGTCCGTCGTCTGCGCCCCTCAGAAACTGACCGACCTGGTAAAGTGGGCACTTAAATAGTATTCTAAGAATTAAGAACTAAAGACAATGTGTATCGAAGCGGGTAGGAAAATGTTTAAAAATTCACAAATCTTATTTGTTCTTGCTAGATTATAAACGTTAGTTAGTTGTATTCGAAGATGTTTCAATTTTTTTCAAAAGATGTTTTGCCGTTGTACTGGCAAAACCACACAGTAAAATTTTCTTATCTTTCTTTTTGAATTACTTTACTTTTATCTATAGATTCAGATTTTACAATAAAATATATAGGGTGCATTTAAAAAAATTGGTCGTGACCTTCATATAACCTTGAAAATAAAGTCATGGTCAAAAAATGTTATCGTCATATGATTTCCCCTTCGCACAGAACAACTTTCATTTGGTTCATTTTTATGTAAAATCGCTTGTCTCACGTTAAATTGCCCATTCTGTATATAAACAAAGTCATTAATTATTTTCGTAACATTTATTTCATTAAAAAATTTCACTAACATTGGTTACAAGACATAGAAACAATTTTTTCCTTTTAATACTGAATGTCAATTTGCTACAACACTAGTTTTAAACATAAATTAGTCGTGCGCGTTTCACTACAAACACAAAAACTTAAGAAGATTATTGTTTGTCGATAATTAAAAGAAAATATAAGAATAAAAAACATAATTAACCACCCTGTTCGTATCACTGTAGCATTTCAACTAATCTAAATTATCGACGGTGAAAGATGAACTTGGTGTCATCAATCCACCGAAACTTTCCGATTTTAAAAGTCCAGATTGCTTGTCATGTATGGAAATTTTTCTTTGTTTAATCTGGGGTTGTAAGCCGGTTTGTATATTCTGAAAGTAAAAACAAGATTTAAAACAGTTTCCTTATAAAAATTAAAAAAAGAAGTTGTTCTAGATCGCTTTCCAAAGTATTATGGCAAAGAGAAAATTTTGAATGAGTTATAGCCTTTGGTTGGAAACTTTCCGCCCACCTAGAAGATAAACTAATAATTCAGGCATCTCGACCGCAGTCTGAAGTCATTTTTATGTGGGACGAGCAGGCTGAAGCGACGCAAGTTAGTTTACCTGGTGGAGAGTTCTTGTTTGAACACTCCGTACATTACTTGCTTATCGATTGAGCAGAAGTCTTTTCCGCTTCTGCGTTAACCACCTGGGAGCTGGAAAACTCCACGTTCAACATCCCTCCGCGTTCACTGAATTTTAAAACGTCCCCAGACAGATTTGAGCCAGGATAATTTAATCGATGGAGTAACAAAAGATGGACGTGTTTGGAGGTCAAATAAAAATTACTCACAAAAAAAATGTAAGATAATTTTTTGCTTTCTCTCATGATATTTTAATATAAAATAAAAAGTAATATAACAATTACTACGAATGTTAGAAATCGCGAAGTTATCGAAACTCTCAGAACAAACTCTTGGAGAAGGAAACTTACCTTCCATATAGTTCCTGGTCCTGTAAGAATGTAATATAGAGCGTAAATCGGTACCCAAACCATTGATGAAAAACTTAGGATGAAACCAATTACGTTGGACCATTTTGGGTAGGTGTAATTCTTTCCGTATGTAAGTGGTTGAAATGCCATGCATTGAGAAATGAAGATTACCTTACGAAAAACAAAATGTAAAATTTTAATAAAGCTATTATTTACATGTAAATTACAAACTTCTACTTATGTCGTTATCTTTTATTATTACTGCGATATATCTTTTTCTATGACAAATGTCTGGTTTATGCAAGTGTAGCTGTTATACAAATGAATTGATCTTATCACGCAATGAAATATTTTTTAAATTAAGTACTTTTCTAGCATTAAAAAATTTAATTATCTTCATTTAGATACGATAAATACTTACAACCATTACTGTTGGTGCACAAAACCTCCAACAAATGGTCCAAAATTTACTTGGTCTAATCCCCATCATCTGTTCGATAGAGTCACTCAATTTTTCAACGCCAAAAATCCATGATATTGCTATAGTTTGAAAGAAACACACCCAAAGTAACGACATGCCGCTAGCAGAATAGTAATCCATCAATTGAAAGACGTACATTCCCCCCTGTAAGCATAAATAAAAATAACTGTAACTTTCACTTGCTTCAGTATAAAGTAGATATAAGCTTATTGGACAAGAAAGTAACTATAATAAGTATTATGTGATATATTTAAACGTTAATGTATTCAAAACAATCCGCAGAGTAACGTAAATTTAATACAGATTTCATCATAATCATTTTACATTATTACAAATTTGGTATGTGTTTGAAAAAATTGTGTCATGTACGAATTAAGATATCATAATAACATAACAAACATATTAAATCAAATTTAATTAAGATTTAATTTTTTATTTTCCATAAACATCACTGCTATGATTTTTAAAACATAACACTGCATATTTGATTGTTGTAGATTTAAAAGCAGAATTTAAAATTTCTACGTTATTAATATCCATTTTAACTGATTTTAGACTAACAAGCATCAAACAACGTAAATCAGACTTTGACATTTGTCAATAAGTCATTAAACATTTGTTTTCTATGGCACACTAGGTTAATATCGATATGATATGTGAGCATTTTTCTAAAAACCCTAATTATCTCCCAAACTATTAATGTTAGGTATGGGACATATGGGATATAAAAGATGTAGAATGGGATAGCGAAGACGACTAAGTAATAAAATATGCGGGTGCCATTTAAAAAAATTAAATTATGGTACTTCCAAATATCGATATGTTAACGTGTCATAGTAAAGTGACCAAACGTTCTAGACAGCCGTTCTCGGCACCAAAACATACTCAATGTAAAAAATGTATGTAAAAATATACAGGGCGTTCCATTCAAAAAAATAAAGTAGGTGGCGACTTCCGATATAACCGGAAGTGCTAGAAATCTGAAAATATTTTAGATGAAGAGAACGTAATTGATAATACTTAAGTCTAAATTCTCAAATTTTTATTTTGGCCAGAACCCCAGAAACGTCTAATGACCGTTCTCGCTGAGACAACCTGCATAACTTCTTATTTTCCATACTCATTGTTATGGTTTATCAAACTTAAATATGTAAATTTAATTGTTATAAATCTTAAATACAGAAATTTAAAAAATCGCATCGCATGAACGAGTTGAGATATAACGATGAGATTTCGAATTTTTTATAGCAAGTTTAATTGAAATTTACTTTGCTAAATAATTTGTTATGTTCCATAAATGTTGTTATAATTTTTTAAAGTCAACTGTGCAAGGTTAATTGTTACAGATTTCAAGAATAAGAATTTAAAATTTCGAACATTTTATAGCAAATTTAATGAAAATTTACTTCGCAGTAAATAACTGTACCTATTCCAGTTAATCGGCACACAAGCAGAAACAACCCTATAGGAAAAGGGTATAATTACAACGTTTGTTAAATTGGTATATAGATTTTATATTATTACTTTTTGATTTATTGCGAAGCATCTCATCACTCTGTGTTTTTCTGCTTTACATAATACGTATATCTAATATTTTTTGTGAAAATCGTTGTAGATTGATTTTTTTAATACTTTGAAAACGAGTAGATAAAAAGTTTAACGATTATTAAAGAGAAGGCCTTGCGCGTGTCATAATCAACCATAAGAGACAGAACGTTAAAAAGCCCAAAAATAATTGCCTTAATAGACACACCAAGAAATTTTTCAAGGTGTGTTCACAATAGACAATTTCGCCTTCCTCAATCCGTCGCGATAGTTCGTCGCACAAACTGCGTTCATGTTGTTGCTATCTCGTAATACGGCCAAAATTCAGAAATACACAGATTTCAACTCATGTGATTTTTTAGTAGGGCCGCTTTAAAAGCTAAAATCTATGAAACAATAATTGAACAATTGTGGACACGTATCCAGAACCCCGNACTAAGGTTTTATGTATAAAAAATATTTCCCCATCGCTTTTAGTTTATGAGTTATGATTAAGTTAATTTTCGAAAATCAACAATTTTAATGTTTAATCGATGTAGAGCTTATAAATAAAAAATAGTAATAATTGCGTTGAATCTTGTTATGGATCTAGTCTTTATTCCAGGGTAGTCGCAGATTGCTACAACTTCTGTAGTTTCAGAAAATGATTCTTCATTTGATATGTTCAATACTTGTCTGATCAACTGTAATTTTATGAATCTGGATCTGGAAGAGATTCGAATATGAATCTAACTTCAGCCACATTAGAAAATGGATAAGAAGAATTTCATTAGGAGCATCAGTTGCTCTTCTATTACTACCTCTTAACACATTATCCAGTATTTAAAAGCATTTTATCGATGGAAGATAAACACTAGACACTAGATCCAGATTTCATAGAATCCTTACTTTTTTTTTATTTTCAAATTTATCTCCTTTTCTGCAAAATCTGGCATATTCATAACCTTTTTCAAATCTTCATAAGCTTTTTGTTTTGCTAACCTGTCTTTATAAGTAACACTTTTAATATGCCATAAACATTCATCTTTGACATTTGTACTAACAAACTTGACAGTAGTATTTTCGCTCCATCGCACTGACATGTTTGTTATTATATATTATACTACATATTGCTAATTCACTAAACTAAATTTATGCGTTCGCACGTGTTTAATGGCAATTGTAAGTAGTGGGGGTACGCTACTCGACCGAAAAAATAGAATCAAATGAATCTACTCGACTAAATCGTTTTACTAAACTACTCGAGTAAATTGTAATGTCCGTAGTGTCCGCACAGAATTCAGAAATACACAGATTTCAAGTCATGTGACTTTTTAGTAGGGCCGCTTTAAAAGCTAAAATCTATGCAACAATAATTGAACAATTGTGGACACGTATCCAGAACCCAGGAAATGCGTTACAATGTGACAATAATTTTCAAGTAGTATTGTTTAATTTTACACCAAGGATTGATTTATGCGTAAATAGAAATGGCGGCTATATTGAGCTGTAAATTTGTGGTTTCCATAATTGCTATAGTTGTCCTCGTTGCCTTCATTGTTGTTATGGTCTGTGTTTGCTGTGTATTATTAGAGGTTATATCCTAGACGTATTCATTATATTTTTGAAGTTTTATGTTTTTAGACGTATTAATGTCNAAACAACCCTATAGGAAAAGGGTATAATTACAACGTTTGTTAAATTGGTATATAGATTTTATATTATTACTTTTTGATTTATTGCGAAGCATCTCATCACTCTGTGTTTTTCTGCTTTACATAATACGTATATCTAATATTTTTTGTGAAAATCGTTGTAGATTGATTTTTTTAATACTTTGAAAACGAGTAGATAAAAAGTTTAACGATTATTAAAGAGAAGGCCTTGCGCGTGTCATAATCAACCATAAGAGACAGAACGTTAAAAAGCCCAAAAATAATTGCCTTAATAGACACACCAAGAAATTTTTCAAGGTGTGTTCACAATAGACAATTTCGCCTTCCTCAATCCGTCGCGATAGTTCGTCGCACAAACTGCGTTCATGTTGTTGCTATCTCGTAATACGGCCAAAATTCAGAAATACACAGATTTCAACTCATGTGATTTTTTAGTAGGGCCGCTTTAAAAGCTAAAATCTATGAAACAATAATTGAACAATTGTGGACACGTATCCAGAACCCCGGAAATGCGTTACAACGTGACAATAATTTTCAAGTAGTATTGTTTAATTTTACTCGAAGGATTGATTTATGCGTAAATAGATATGCCATATTCAGCTGTAAATTTGTGGTTTCCATAATTGCCATAGTTGTCCTTCTTGCCATCATTGTTGTTATTATTCTTCCTTTTTTATATTATAAAAAAGTTATTTTTCTTGTTCCTTTTAATTTTTTTATTCTTATTATTATTTGTACTAATAAAATTATTGCAGCTGATAGATACATGGCTATATAACTTCAAAGTGAAGAAAATCCATGACAACTATCATTTTTGTTTGGTCAAATTGATTATACTTACAATGGAAGTATTAGAAATCTCCCTTACCGATTTTGTTGCAATTTGGTACAGCAATAGTATGGTCTAAATAAGGGTTACGTATTCCTTATATGTGCTAATAAAGCCCCTGGGGAGAGTTATAAGGGTTGGAAATCGGAGCGAACGGTACCTATATAATCGCTTATAACTTGAAGACGAAAACAGCTAATGTGGTAATGTGGTAAATGTAAACTGATATTCATTTTTAAGGAACTTTTCATTGATATATATGCGATATATATCACACATATATTTAAGAGCTCCGGGGTAAACTACTCCTAATTTCTTTGAATAATTTAAAAACTACCCTGTTTCAAAATATTAATATATACAAGGGTCTTTACTGCAAAGAGGTATTACAACTCATTAAATATTTTTAATGAACATTTTTAGAACACTCATCGCATGAGAAAAGGTTAGAACATAAAACTTGTTCTAGTTAGTTCTAGTTTGATTTGATGAATTTGCAGATGTTTTGCTACGAAATTTGTAAACATTCCTCATTCGTTGCAGCATGTTTTCTGATGAATGATCAGGTTTTATTTGAACTACAAGAATCATTTATTAGGTGTGAAGTAGCAGCTAGCATATTTAATTCGATTAGTTCGATTCCAGTCTTATGTTGTTTCTATTTGAGAGAAGGTCGATCTACTTCTATGCCACAGCGAAAGATGTGGATTCATCTCCTCCACCACATCGAGTCCTAGCTTAAGCTTCCACAGCAAGAATCAAGAGATATAATTTATCGACCATTTTGCGCTATCTTATAAGAGACATACAATTCTCGTGCTTTTATTTGTAATATGTCCTTGAACATCCTCTTTTCCGGAAAGTTTGCGATGAACATGAAGAATGCTTTCACCAGAAAATAATGGAGTTTGAGAAGCGATATCAAAACAGATCTGCCATGCTTACAGACTTTTGTTGGTGCCTTTATAGGAATACTGCGAGGACTGACTGAATTATAACTAAACTTGTTGTAGTTATAAATTTATTAGTGCATTATAAACAATTTATAGACACAATATTTTTACAAAAATAGTTACAAAACACCATTTTCGATTTTATTATAAAAAAATTTTATTCCGGATCAACGTGACATATCCATAGATTAATCCTTTTTGTGGTGGGTACGAGAGGTCTTTTTCGATCCATACATTATACTCATAGCAAATTCTAGTCCACATTGACGCAACTCAGAAAGAGCGTCCCCATCCGTATTTTGGGTATCTTATTAATGCAAATGATGAAATCTGAACACTACACCATACCCACAACCACTTTTGAATCCCGAAACCCGGAATATAAAATTTCCCGTCGGAATTCGACGAAAAGTACCCTCTTGATTATCGAAAATTCGAGTCCGGGCCGTAGCTAACGAGCACTCCCCCGGTTATCGCTTAAATTAATTTTCGATTGCATTCAAGTTTAATTACTAGAAAAGCTTAAAAAAATCGCCTCTACATTTTTGGTATATTTCAAAGTCAAACATTTTTTTTAAAGTTTACAGACAATAAAAAATGTTTGGGGTTTTTATTTTGGTAAAGACTTATTTTTAAAAAAATATAACCACCCCTGCTTTTTATATCGTGGGTGGTTATTGCCGTGGCCTTAAACCCACAACATTGTGAAAAATCGATTTCCACTAAAGAAAACAGTCATCCCGGTTCACCCGTTCAACTCATCCCACGAAAACTGTGTCGGTATATGGCTAAAATTCTGTATGAAAAATCTTTCGAGATATTTACAATTGTTGACGGACAACTACCAGTTTTTGCTTTTAGTTAAAAATGACTTTTATTAATTATTTCATCAAATAATTATTACGAATCAAGATTTAAAAAAACAGAAATTGTTTAACTTACGTGTGTAACCATTGGTATTCCTAAAGCGAACATTACTATACAAATTATGACAGTGAATGTGTTACGATGAGGTCTCAATACTTCGGACCAATTATCAACAACGCCGGTTATGAAGGATTCCACGAGGCAAAATTCGCTGTCGATACCCAAAACCTATAAAATCAAATGAAAACGTAATAAGTTATAAATTCTTAATATAATCTCGTAATAATTCAACGAGTACAAATAATATAAAAAGTTCTATTAAAGTTCAAGGAAATGCTCGAAAATACTAGTTGGTAGATGGTTTCCCGTAGTCGCTTCAAGGTTTACGTTTCAAATTTATGTTAATTAAAAAACTTTCTAAACTCCTTTTTTCCACGATTCGTGTGAAACCCAACTCAATTTATATCTCATTACTATTCCTGCTTTTCATTTTAAATTGTTAATATGTTTCGTAAACAAATAACAAACACATTTTATTCATTATATAATTAATGTGTTAACTTACCACTAGCATAATAAAAAATGTGATGGCCCAAAAAGCTGCGCCGGGCAGCTTGAGAACTACTTCCGGATATGTTAAAAATACAAGACCCGGTCCACTTTTCACGACAGTGCCGACATTTGTTCCTAGTTCCGCAGCCAGGTGGCCGAGAATTGAAAATGTAACAGCTCCCGCCAACAGCGACGTGAGTGTATTTATTATACAAGTTATGACTGCATCCCTGATAAATAAAAAGAAAAATGAGAATTTATTTTTTATATTTTAATATTAATCAGGCTATAACCGAGAAGGACAAAATGTTGGAAACAAATAGGAATACTTATCTACGCTGAAAATTGCACAACTTTAATCTCACTAGTTTGCTTTAATGTTGCCCTCATTATGCCTGGATTAGCTCTAGCATTTCCTTCAAGTGCATATTGTTACGAATTATAAAAAATGTGGATGCAAGGATAAACCTTAAAATCTATAAAGCTTACATGAAAGTAGATATGTTTCTGGATGGCATCTGTAGATGTACTTATAGTTATCCAGAACATTTTTGAGATATAGACAATGACTTATTATGGTAGGGACACTGGTCAAATATTCCTTTTTCTTCTCTATGAGAATGACTGGAACTGATTATATTTAGGACAGAAATAATTCAATTTATAACAGGAGTGCGAATATATTGGTGTTACGTTACAACTTACAATAAAATTAGGATTAACTCAGGAGTGATGGCACCATGTAACCGTGTGCAAAAATGGAAATGGGTAAGAACTATGTGAAATTGCCTTTCGTATAGTATTCGAACAGTACGGTGCAGTTATAACTCTTAAGGTCGCGTTAAACTATATGAAAACACAGGTCATAAGAAACGGGTTCAGCAGGTCCAAGATTTAGGGCGCATGAAAGCAATTGAAGTAAAACTTTTAGTATGAGGTGAAAGACATATAGAGCTTTCGAGTAAAAATCACCAATCACCAAAATTCTTATTATTATTAACAAAAAAAAATCGCAAAGTTACGTGTAATTTTTGGCCACTTTGTCTTGTTTGTGTTGTTGTTATAAAAAACGAAGTAAGGCACAAATCATTCGGGAAATACCTTTACTCGAAGCAGAACAGTCCACAGAAACCGCCATATCAACACATTTTGTTACGCTAGTTAGCAGAAAACTTGGAACTACGAAATTATATGTAAATTATATGGAATAATAAATAAACCGCTGACATAGGCAAACACTCTAACATAAAAATAGTTCAGGGCATACTCTCAAAGATGGCGCCATATTTATAAATAAAATAAAGTCCCTAGATTTACAAAGTACCGCGGTTTATGAAGTCTGTTTTCGAGCCAAAATGGCGGTTTGACAGCTTGTCACTGCATCTCACCACTTATTTACAAAAATATTGCCGTCTTGTTGCCTTTGGAGTTGCAAAAATGGCAGTAAGAAGGACTTTCGACTCTTCAGAATACCACAAGAAAAAAAGAAAGGAAATTTGGCGTAATGTTTTGGTTTGTAGTTTTAAATTTCCCGCTTGACTTTCGAGCCAAAAAGGCGTCAAACCGCGGTACTTTGTAAATCTAGGGACTTTAAAATAAAATATTTAATTTATTAAAATAAAATTTTAAGTATATTAAGCCTCCTAAGTTACTAACGTTGCAATAATAATTTTTTTACAAATAAAAGTAATAAAAGAAATTAGCGGAACGAAAAAAAATCAAATGTCTGGAATATAGCCAATAACTTCGCCATTTGTAGTTTTAAAGAAAAATGTTTCAAATAAGTTTCTTTATTAATCATGGCGCATTTTTTGGCGATATTAGGTTGTTTGTATTGTTTTTTGTTTCGTTGCTTGTGTCGTTGTTTGTTTCGTATAAGAAAAAAATCGAGAAAAAATGCGTTTTTTGAAAGTCTTAAGTCAGCTTATTACAATCAAAGTAGGCGCCGAAATAACGCCGTTGACAGCTTTAAATGTCAAAAAAAATTTCAGTTTCAACAATTTTTCTGCCTTTTTTTCTCGATTTTTATCTAATACAACCATATACTCTGGGACGGTGCGTCCCAGACAGTACGTCGCGCCTTTATCTTACCTACATAAAGAAATAAGGTGCGACGTCCTGTCTGGGACGCATCATCTGCTCCGAATGGACGGAACCCCCATCATCCCGCAGAGCTTATTTCTGTTGCTCTTTAATTTATAATTCCATTAAATCGCTCTTAAAAAATTAGGAAGCTTTAATTTTGAAAAACTGATAACCGAATCCAACAACCAACATTATTTGATATATTTTGGTCAAATCCGCGGAGAAATCCACCCAGCCCTTTTCGACGTAATGGCGTCTTACTAAACCTCGATTTTCCGCGAAACTTTACGAAATATCGAAAAAATAAAATATGCTACTTATTAAGTACACATCAGGCTACCACCAGTTCAAAATTCAAATTTTTTCGTACGATAGTTTTCGAGAAAACAATCAAAAAGCTGATACAGTTGCCGGTACCGTAAAAAATCGGGTACTTTTTTCATTTAACTCGCGATAAAAAGAAAACGTTGATCAGAAAATTTTTAAATTAACATATTTACGTAGAAATGTTCAGTGCTTACAACAAACTTTGTCGCAATTTTTTTTATCGAGCGGTTGCGAAGATATCGATCTCTAAAGTGAGGGGCCCTGACTTTTTGCACGGATAGTAGTAGTGGGAAGAATCGCTCCAAATGCGAATTTTGTTTATTTCCTCAAATCTGGCTTGGCGCGACATCTGTGAACGACAAGATCCCCAGTCAAACCGATCTCGAGTTTTAGAGGTCATCTCACGAACGTTCAATGTTTCACCCGGCCTTAACGAACATTAACACCTTGCTCGGTGAAAAGTCATTCAGATCCTCTGGAGAAATAAACTGCGACTCAAAACTCAAGAATCTGATACGATTAACAGCAGGGCAGTGGCATAAAACATGCTCAACCGTCTCCTCGTCCTCCGCACATAGTCGGCATTCAACATCGTCAGCTAGACCCAACAAGTTGAGGTATGCTTTTAATCGGCAGTGCTCAGTAAAGACTAGAATGCTACAAGCAAGTCCTCAAATATTCCCGGGTTTGATAGTGGCGATGTTAACAAACACCTTAGCATGTCTCATTCCAGAAGAACTGGTCCACAATAGGCGAAGTCTCTCTTCAGCCCACAGTCCAATCCTATATTTGGCCATCACAAATGATACACCTGCTGGTTCTGGCCCCACAAACGCGTTAGCGCTGCCCTCTCGTACCAGCTCATCTGCCGCTTCATCGCCAACAACCCCAGAGTGATCTGAGACCCAGATCAGAGAAACTCTATTATCACAACTGAGTGTGTTTAATGTTCTTTTACAGTCATTAACCAGAGCCGACACCGTTTTCACGGCTTGCAGCGCCTGAAGAGCGGCTTGACTATCTGAGAGAAATCGTACTGTCATGTTCTTCACCCCTCTCTCAAGAAGGATTAATCTCATGGTGGTCAAAAATGAAAAATGAATCTGTAACGGAAAAAATAAGAATCTCGACAGGCAGAAGACAAACTGATAGAAGTAATAATACAGGTTTATGAAGAAGAACAAACAAGAGATTGAAATGGACATGATGGCATAAAATACTGAAATGGAAAGACACTCCATTTCCGAACTCTCCGACCTGGTGTCCGAACGAACTGTCACTATGTCTATGAATTATGAAGAGGGAAAAAAGAATTGAAGAATACTTTAGGATCAACTTAACGAAGTAACAAAAAAGTAAGAATATATATACTTCGGCAGCTTCAATAGCAGAGTTAAAAGAGACAGTATACATAAGATAAGTAAAGCAATGCATGGAGAAGATAAGTGAAACGAAAACAACAAGCGCACGTTGAATTTCTGCCTACTTAACAACATTATAATAACAAACACCTTTAGCAGTATATACAGGGTGTTTCAGGAGGAAACGGAAATATTTCGAGGACGTATTCAGAGTGTTAAAATAATTCAAATAAACCTTTATGTTTAAGTCATATTTTCAACTGTTATAGAAATAATCGGTGTAAATAAAAATTAATTTTAAAAATTTTATTTTTCATTTGACGAACAATTAACAAGGATTTAATCATATTTTTTTTGAGGTTTGTGTTGGACAACGTTAAAACAAAAAGAGAATTTGAGAATATGAGTAGAGATAGAAATATGAATAGAGAATATGCCGATATGACATTTGTTTATGGCTACTGCAATAGTAGTGCAACTCAGGCAGTCAATGAATATCGTCGTCGCTTTCCAACCAGAAGAATTCCGTGTAGGAAAGTTTTCCAAAAAGTATTTGGAAGTGCTGCAGAAATTGGAACATTTCTTAGTGCCAGGATTGTTTCGGAAAGAAGTGCTGGTTTAAATGCTGAAATAGAAGAAGCTGTTTTGAATGTGGTAGAAGAGAGCCCCGATGTAAGCACGAGGCGTATTGCTATCCAATTTCAAATTGCACATACATCTGCCTGGAGATTGTTGAAAGAAAATAGTTTGCAACCATTTCATCTTCAATCTGTTCAAAATCTACATGATGGTGATCATGCCTCAAGATCCCAATTTTGTAATTGGTTATCTGAAAATCGGAGACTGCATAAGTATATTTTATTTAGCGATGAGGCGCAGTTCACTTGCGATGGAGTTAACAACTGCCACATCGATGGCCAGATGAAAGTCCGCATGCCACTTACGAAAGAAACTTCCAGAATCGATTATTCGGTCCATTTGTATTGGATCAGCGTCTTACTGGAGAAAGGTATTTAGAGTTTTTGGAAGTTCACTTACCAGAAATTTTGGGTGATATACCTATGAATGTTAGACAAAGATGGAGCACCAACATAATGGAGCCCCTCCACATTTTAATCGAATGGTTAGAAACTTCTTAAATACTCACTTTCCAAATCGTTGGATTGGGCGTGGTGGTCCACACAATTGACCTGCCTGATCACCTGATCTAAATCCCCTCGATTATTGTCTTTGGTGGTGGATGAAAAGTTTGGTTTATACGACAAAAGTTCAAATGAGGGACGCACTGAAAGATCGAATTTTTAATGCTGCAGCTACTATTCGAAACAATCGTCGTAGCATTCAACATTCTACGCGATCTGTCATTAAACGAGCCAGACTACGCATTGAAGTTGATGGTAGATCTTTTGAAAATAATTGTTAAATCCTTGTTAATTGTTCGTTACTTGAAAAATAAA